CACCTGGAAGCTCACACGTCTGCAGGCAGATTGCTTCTATGATTGCCTTAAGCTTGCACTTCAGCTCTCACGTTTGCTTGGCTGCTTCCCAGCTGACCACAAACACCCTGAAGCCAGGCCTGCGCAGTGGCACCTGATTTTTATCTCTGCGCAGCACCCTGAGCACCTGGCTAAGGCATGCAAAGACGAAGGGCTCCTGGCAGTGGTGGAAAAGCAGCAAGGAGTCACGGCAGGCTTGCTCTAGGGCCGGCCCCAGGGGGGCACGTGGCACGAGCTGGGGACGGCAGCAACGGACCTTCTGAATCAAGCCTGATCCCTCGAGAAGTCCAGTGCTCTGGGCTCTTACCCATTTCTTCCTCTTCAGTCTTTTTAGGGCACTTTCATAATCCTATCAGGCTTTCCCTGCGAGGTGGTGGGGCAGCCGCTGTTCACATGATGGATGGGACGAGTGAAGTCAGAAGGGACAGGATGTACAGGGGCTCTCTCAGCTGGGGGTAAGGCAGGTCTGGAGCCCCGATTTCCCTCCACCTCTCTGAAACGTGGAAAGGGAGACAGGGAATACATCCTCTCCCCGAAGTGTGAGCATGCTCCACCTTAGGGGGGGTCAAGAAGGCAGCCCAGCCCCTAGGACAGGTCCAATTCCCTCAGGTCAAAGAGGAGGAGGCCAAGGCGCAGAGAGCTCCGGTGACTTGCCCTAGGGCATCCTGCACCTCCAGGGCCAAACTGGCTCCCGCTTGCTGAGTCCTCATCAGACACCAAGGGGCGCAGATGCGTCATCTCTCAGAGCGTAAAGCACAGCACCGCCCTCTTGCCTTCTGTGTGATGACTGGGGCTCACCCCTGGGAGCAAGCAGCAGGTGGGAGAGGGCCCCCCTCACGAGTACAGAGTCTTGGGGTGGCTGCTGATTTGGAGAGGCAGCGCTGGCTCAGTTTGGTTTGGCAATGGCCTTCTCTGGGCACACGGCACAGGTAAGCCAGCAGGCCAGGCTCCCTCGGGACCGAGAGGCCGTGTTGGAGAGGAGGTAGCCCTCACAGTGATGGTGAGAGAAGCCCTGATCAGCTGACAGGTGGAAAAACAACATGTGGCCTCTCCATGCAATGGAATTGTATTCAGGCATAACAAGGAATGACTCACTAACCCATGCAACAACCTGGGGAAACCCGAAAATGTTACGTTGATGCAAAAGATCACATATCGTGCGATGCTGTTTGTGTGAAATACCCAGACTAACTAGTTAAGTTCACAGACACAGGAAGCAGATCGGGGTCGGGAGGGGTTGGGTCAAGGGGCAATGGGGAGTGACTGTATCATGGGTTTGGGCCTCCTCTGAGAGGGAGGAAAACGCTTTGGCACTCGAAAGAGGTGACGTACAACACTGTATGCACCAAATGCCACTGGATGGCATAGTTTAAAAGAGTTATGTCATGCAAATTTCACCTCAATAAAGTAATAGGAGGAGGAGGAAGCTGCAGCTACCACCACCGCCCTGAGGCTCGGATCTAGAGAGCCAGCCATGCGTCAGCTTTCTTCTCTTCCAGGAAGAGTGGGGCCGATCCAAATCCCCCCACGCCCAGCATTAGGGGACCGGGCCAGCCCCTCCTGGCCTGCGCAAGAACCCTGCTGCAGGGTGGCCCAGTCTGGCCAGGCCCCAAGCCTGCACAGGCTCAGGAGGAGAAGCAGCTGGGCTCCCTGGCTGTAAGCGGACCAGCCAAGGGTGGGGTTGCCTGTGCTTTGCAAACAGCATTTGCACAATTCTCCATCCGGACTCCAAAAGCTCTGCTCGTTCTTGGGTGCTCCAGAGCCATCTGGAAGCACAGTGACTATCAGGGCCCAGGAAACTTTGAGGGCACCTGCTTTCACCTTGGGCCCCTGTAGGGACCCCACATAGCCTGCTTGACTGAGGGGATACCCACTCTCACCACTTTGAGAAGCATCTCAGGCAAGTAGCACAGCCTGTTTGAACAGATGTCCTCAAACTGAGCCCAGAGCAGCCTCACCCTTCTCTTTGGGTCTAGATGTGTCCTCTGGGGCCCGCACAGCACAGGGTGACCCGTCTGCCTTGAAGCAGCCCTTAGAGCACTGAAATGGGCAAAGGATGGGGTGGAGCCTCCTTCTGGTCCCACCTGTCATTCCTGCAGACCCTGGGTAGCTTTCCACTCCTCTCCAGGCCTCAGTTTCCCAACTTATAAGATGTCACACCCACATTCTGGGTTGCCCTAAAGCTTAGTTGAGACAAGGGCCAGAATACTGCTCAGGACTAGTCAAAAGGTACCACAGCATCAGGAGCCCTTTGGGTCAAACCTCTGTAGAATCTGTGAATGAACACCCATTCGTTCAGTCCAGCCAGGCTTGGAGTCTTGGAATGACCCCCCCCACCTCGGCCTATAGCCACGCCTCTACGTATTTCCTGAGGAAAACGGGGCCAGCCTTTAAGGGGTGACATTCACTTCATACTAGACGAGGTGGGCGTGCCGGTCGCGCTAGGTCAGGGGTCAGACGCTTTGCAGGGCTGGATCTCTTCTTTCTCGGCTCCTGGCCCTGGCCCTTCCCCCAGATCCTTGGTTCCCTCACAACCTGCTGGCACCAGGGCCACAGAGGGATGCAGGGGTGACAGCCCAGATTAGGAGCCCTGAGGCCTGGGCCCAGTTTTGGCCAGAATTGGCCAGGTAACCCCAGGCTGCTCTCCTTGTCTGTAGAGTTTGAAAAAGGCCACTACCAGCATTTTCAGTACTGAATGCACTGCTGAGGGACATTTGGCTCCCCTGGCCCTTCTCACTAGAGGTGCCCCAGTCACTGAGGAGCACAAACACCCTCACACAACTCCAAGCCCTCTGGAGAACAGGGGTGGGGGTAACTCTCTGAGGCTGTTCTAGCCCCTTCTGATGCTTGGTTCTTCGGGCACTCCATGACATGTGAAAACTCAGGCTCATGAGTTGGGCTGCCTCATCCTCAGATCACCGTGTAGCAGCCCCTGTGTTCACGCAGGGCAGGGTGCCCTGTGACGCCCCCATTAGCCCTCTGATACTACCCCGTTATGGCTCCACACAAACTGGTCTTTGGTCTTCAACAAGGCCAAGGTCAGGGGCACAGTCATCCCCCAACCACACTTGCTGAGCCGGAGGGAAGCCCCAGCCCCTCCCGCTCTGGGTGTGTGTCTGCACAGGGGCTTGACTGTCTCAGGTGGCTTGTCTCTGGCAGTGACAGGAGGGGAATGCCAAATTCATGCTGGGTAATAAATTCTGCAAAGCCAATAAAACCAAAGCAGAGGGATAGAGGGAAGAACCACAGCAACTGATTAAACATTTTTGTTGGCAGTCACAGACACATGACACATTTTCCAAGGTCTGCATCAAGGAGACATCTGGCCATACATAGCCCATGTGTTTGTGGGACGGGATCCTGGGGAGTGGAGGCGAGGGAGCTGGGGAGGGCAAGACCCTCCAAAGAGCAGTAGTCTGGGAAGCAGGAACTGTTGAGGGGCTGCTGAGTCACCTCCAGGGCAATGGTCTCAGCGAGCTGGTTGGGATCTGCCCCCACAGCCGGAGCTTCAGGCCCAGGTTTGCCTGCCAACTCCGTGGGCTGCGGGAGTCGAGGCCTGGGAAGGGAATGTTCTGTGCTTGGAATGCCTGTCGCCCAGCCCTACCACACCCCATATCCAGACTCAGGATTCTGGACTGATATTTGAAGGATAGTGAGGGGGCCATTATATGGGGCCAGAGCTGGCCCACAAGGGGACCTTGGGACTCTTAACTCTTTGGGTTTCCTGGTCATGTCTCCAAATATTCTGTACTTCCATACCTTCACTCATGAGCATCCTTCTTCCCTTCAAGGCACTGCTGTGCTCTGGGATCCAGAGCCCCCTGTGCCCACATTCAACTGATGTGAGCTGTGTGTGTGTGTGCACGCACACACACGTGTACATGTGCATGCATCTTCCCAATAGGCTTTTTTTCTGCCATTCTCCCCATGCTTGCTGACCCCGCTGAAAGGCCCCGCTGGGGCCTCTGCATGAGCTGATGTGGGCCTGGGGCAGTGGAGGTAGGGCACATGGCTGGAGAGGGACAGTGACCAGCTGACTCAGGCTAGTCTTTCGCTCTGTTGGGAAGAACTGGATTTCCACATGAAATTGCCCCATCCTTCAATGACTCACCACTGCTCACAAGATAAAGCCCAACCTTCCCAGCCACCCTGGCAGACCCTGCCTGCAGCAGTCCCAAGTCAATTTCATGTGCTTGAAACAAGAGTCATTCACCCCTGTGTAAAGGCAGAGAGCAAGGTGCTGGGATCCTGGTTGCCCACACAGTTCAGTCTCACACTGGGCAACTAGCTGGCACTAAAACCCAGTGGCCCAGGAGTCCCCAGGAGCTTTTTCCCTCTTACCTCACACACGGAGATCCCGACTTGGGCTTCATTGACTGGCTCGAGCAATGGTAAAGGGTGTCCATGATCCCTGATGTCACCACTCCATTCATGTGCCCCTCTGCTTATACTCGGCCTAGCCAGACCCCACGGTCCTGGAGCCCCTGCTCAAGTCCACTGCCCAGGCCTACGACTCCATCCTCTCTGCCCTCTGCATGCCTGAGCCCCAAGGGGCAGCTTCCGAGCCGCTCTCTCCACCTGCAGGCCTCCTGGGCATCAGCCCAGCCTCCTGCCTGCTCCTTACCGGATGCATGACCTTTCGCTCTCCCTCAGCCACGTCCTACTCAGTTTCACCTTCACACATGTCATTGCCCACCCCTTACTCAGACGATACCTGCTCAGCCTCTGGGATTCCATGCAGGGGTCATGTGCTGGGGCCCAGGCCTCCCTGGAGGCATCGGCAGCTGCTCCTCCAGTGGCACCTCCTGGCCCAGAGCCCAGCCCCTGACTTGTCTCCCCCTCTTTGCAGCCTTGAGGGCCAGCAGAGGGCGGGACACTGATAAATGTTTAGGGAACAGAGCTTGGTCTCCCCAGGGCAGGAGTTGCCCTAAAGAGGTCACAGGGCCCAAGTCTTTACCTACCTCTGAGAAGAACACAGAAAGAATGACCAGACTGATCCAGTGAATTATGCCGGCAAATTGGAATGCGCTGGAAACTGCAACGAACACAATAATGGGCCAATTTTAGGAGCAAGGAGTTAGGTGCGTTGGTAGACGGCCTTCAGAGCATGGAGGCCAACCTCTGGGAGCCTGGGGCCTGTTCATGTGAACATTTAGATCGGGACAGAATCAGGCCAGAGAACATCAAGGGCAGCTTAAAATGGTGTCTGTGGTGGTGGAGGTGGTGGGAGGACGGAGGGCCAGTGGTGCTGTTCCTTCCTCTCAGAGGCCATCTCTGTCTCCCCATCAGCTGCCTCCCAGAATTCCAGCTCAGTCCCATCGGCCTTGGTGGGCTTGGGAGCTATAGCCATTCTCCCAGAAAGGAGCCCTCCAGAGCAGGGCTTATGAAGACCTTCGTGGCTTTCAGAGTAGGGTAGGCAGCTTCAGTCAAGTCTAGATGAGCTTTCAGAAACTCCTACCACAATTCACACCCAAAGCTCCGGTCACTGTTAGTGGGACTCAAGACAAGCTAACTTTGACTATTCATTGTGAAAACTCTGAGTGTAGAGTTGGTCATGTCGACGAGGATGTTTGGGGGATGAGGGTGAAGCCAGGCCTGGTACGGGGCATGTCACCTCCTGAACGGGGAAGCACAAGCAGCCAGGGTCTGCTATCCTTCCAAGTTGCTCCATTCGCCCTCCAGACTCCAGAGTGCAAGTGGGGAGAGCCATGAGCCCCTGAAAGCTCCCATCCCACCTTCCACCAGACAATCCCTGGAGTGAAGGCGCTCTTTCTGAAAGACCCTTTTAAAATACGGGAGCCATGACCAGCCCCCGAGCCTAAGCAGGGCATAGTTTATCAGGTAGTGAGGTCAAAAGCAGGGTGCTGGGGCCCAGGTAAGGATCAGGTGGGCTCTGATGGAGAATGGATGGACGGGGATGCTTCCCAGAAGGCAGTCCTGAAAGGGATACCACAGGGCGGTGGGCGGGGCCAAAACAGGGTGCAGGCAGGCTGCTGAAAACACACCTATGCTGCCTCTCTCCTGGGCTTGGGCCAGGCCTGCTTAGCATGCAGCCCTAGGGGCTCAAGGAGAATACCCAGGGCCTCGGTGGGGAAGGCTGGCCTGAAAGACAAGAACCCACAGACTCCCCCAAAGCGCTGAGATCAGTGAACCCTGGGGGTGGGCAGAAACCCGGTGCTGGAGCATGTCCGGGGTGGCAGGGGGGAGGGGGAGGCTGCAATACCAGGTTCCAGGTGGGAGACCTCAGGGTCCCCTGGCGTTGGGCCAATGTGACCCCCTTAGAGGATGAGGCCTGGAGGCACGTGGATTCTTTCCATCCCAGGCCACATGAGGACTGGTGGGAAGTGAGAGTCTGAGGCCTGTGTGACTCTGAAAAGACCTCCAGATGATTCTGAAAACATAAAATTTCTCCCCATTATTTCTCAAATGAATTCCTGTGCCTTTTTTTATGGTTTGCTTTAGAAGAGCAATAAATCTCTGATTGTGCATTTTATGGAATTTAAGATGCCTTTTATGAGCTGCTATTGGATCTCCCACCAAAATCAATCTCCTGGATACTTAATTTTAAGCAAAATTCCAGTGTCGGCCAGGTTCTCAGTTCTACTCAATGCCTTGTCACAACCTGAGCAGCCGAGGGCCCCAAATACAACCTACGACAGGGAAAGAAAGACTCTGTTATGGCCAAGGCCTCATAAAAAGCAGACATATGGATGAGTGGGAGGGAAAGTATACAACATGGTTTAATTGAAGACAGGTTGAGTGTAAAACCAGTGCTGGTCACTTTATGCTGGAAGACCCTTTGATTGGAACCAAGGGGCCACCAGCTGCACAAAACCCAATGAGGCTTATCAGACAAAAGCAATTCTGTACTCCCTGTCATTCTCTCTTAGGGAGCAGGGAAGGCTCACAGGGCGTGGAAGGAGCTCTGATGGACCCTGAAAACAGAGGCTCCAGTAAAAGAACTGAGGGCATTTGAGAAAACAAGTCGAGGACAACTTAATGGGTTTGGAGGTGGCTGGATCTATTGTCCTAGATTTTGCCAATGGCAGAATCTTGGGGGCCAATAATTTCATCTCTTTTTTATTTGCACTTGAATAATCCACTTCCTGAATCGGGGAAATACGGGGATCCAGGAGCTCTACCACAAAACACTCACTCACCCAAAGCCAAGGGTGAAGACTCCTGGCTCCCCCCACTGGTGCACTAAAATAGAGGTCTGCAAGGGTCGGGGGCAGGAAGTGCCCCTGCCCCGACGGCCACATTACCACAGGACATCCAGAAGGGCAGAAGAGGTAGCGGGACAAGCCATCGACTGCCATGTGCAGCAGGCTCCCATAAACACAAGACTAGAACGAACACCAAGAGACCTATGGTGGGAAGGAAACTGGCTGGATCACTGAATGGCCTGGTGGCCTGAAGTCCCTTACCTAGGGAAAGTCTCTAACTTCTCCAAATGTTAATTCCCTTGCCTATAAGATGAGATAAAATCAGTCATGTCCACCTCACAGGGTTGCTGCTAGGATCGGATGTATGGAAAAGTGCTTTCAAGATGATCACAGACATAAGTAACTCTGCCAACTTACGGCTGCATAAAAATACAAGCAATCCTATCATCACTGTGGATGCTGTTATTATCAGTTACTACAAGGTGATCACTTCCACACACAAGAACTCTCTGTAAGCTACAAAAAAGTCCAACCTGGAAAATTCCAAATGGGAACAATTAAAAAAAAAAAAAAGTGCACACAGGGGTCCCCAACGTTTTAGATCTCATCAGTTTCTGATCATGGAATGCTGGGGCGGGGGCTCTGGAGAGGCCACATTGGGGAGAAGGGGCAAACGGATACTGGGAATGACGGGGAGAGAAACTGCCAGATTTCCTCCCTGGGCAGTAATCCCCATGAGCCATGGGGCCAGGGGCGTGACAGTGGCATTGGGCGGGTGGGGGGAAGGGGAGGTGGGCAGATGGCACTGCTGGTTGGGGACCCCTGATGGATGCACATTGAATATTGACATCATATGTATTTGCATATGTATCTCTCTTGCTACTCACACTGGAGAAGCTTTATATCTATTAGAAGTTCCAGAGTCAGGAGAATCACCACCAATATTACACAGGCTACCAGGAAACTGTTGAGACTCGCACTGAGCAAAAATACCTGCCACACGGCTGCTCTCTTCCCACAGCACGGCTTCAGCCAGGTAGACCTGTGGGGACAAAAGCGGGAGAAGAGGAGGGGATAGGGGTTGAGATCCCAGCCACTGTCCTGGTCTCAGACTCACCCTCGTCATTCCTCCCGGGCTCTAAATTTCCCAGCAAAATGCAACGTTTTTCAAGAGGCCACTGGGTAGAATCATGAAGAGCAAAACCAACTCATGAGGAGATGGAGCTATAGGCTGACCTGGGCAACTCACAGCATTAGTCCATGTTTCAGTCTCCTCATCATTATAATGGGTGTGAAACCCACATCTCAGAGGCTCCTTGTAATCACTGGAGATCACAAAGATCAGCGGAGAGCCTGGCTAGGTGTAAGAACTGCATGAAAATGAGCTGTTATTATTGTACGTCTGTGTGTGGTCTTGGAGTCTAGCACAGGCTCTGAATTTAGGAAGCCCTCAACTCACCTCTAATAAATGCTCAATAAATTAATGAATTTTCAATGCTTTTCAGCTATACAAACAAAGATTTGAACTAAATCTCTATTTAGTTCAAAGTGGGTTGTATGGAATCCTAGTTCCACAGAATGTCGATGGCTGTTATTTGATAATTTCTATGGTTGGACATGTTTTGGAAAATTGGGGTCAAAGTCAAGTGGCTATTTTTCTAGGCAGGACATTTCAGTGCCCTTAATGTTATTATGCATCATCATGCTCAAAAGGGATCAGAGTATCAGTGCTTTCCAAACTCGCTGGATCACAGCAACGTCTTGTCGCCGAGCATCTGGTGGGACAAGTGCTTCATGGACAATCTTTTGGGAAACCCCAAGAGGTGGAGATGAAGCCACCAAGGGTGGTATTTTTCCCGAGTAGGACTGGAAGTGGGAAGGAGGGGCAGAACCTCAGAGCTGGGTAGGTCCTTCAGGGCATTTGATGGACACCCCTCAGGAACACAAGATCCTGGGGGTGCCTGGGTGGCTCAGTCGTTAAGCATCTGCCTTCGGCTCAGGTCATGATCTCAGGGTCCTGGGTTCGAGCCCCGCATTGGGCTTCCTGCTTGGCAGGAAGCCTGCTTCTCCCTCTCCCTTTTTCTCTGTTTGTGTTTCTTCTCTTGCTCTGTCTCTCTCTGTCAAATAAATAAATCAAATCTTAAAAAAAAAATCATATTAGGAACACAAGATCCTGGGAAACAGGGGTGCCTCTAGGGGGATGGGGGAGCTCAGGCCAAACCTCACTGCCTTGTTGAGGAAGAATCAGGCATCCTGAAGGAGAAGAGGTAGCACTAGGCAGGGAACCCTCACTTCTGGCTCCACTTTCAGACACCCAGGACTATGTGTGAAGGTATCTCTGCATTCTGGGCCTCAGTCTCCCACTTATAAAACTCCTTAACTCCTACTGAAAGTTAAATGAGGGAATGTATCTGACCTATAAAGCACCATGTTGCTGAAATGGGTTGATGAGGACGTTGATGTTGTTATTCGATGGCCAAACACTTGGCTGTCCCCCTCCTCTCCATCCAGAGGGAGCATCTGCTGAAGGGGGTCAGCATCCCCCCCCCACCCCTCAGGGATCCCAAGGGTGTCACTGGAAGAGGGAATTCTGAGATGCTCCCTTCTCTGCAAAGGAATACTGTGAGTGCTTTGAGGCGGAGTTTCTTCCTCACGATCCATCTAGGGAAAGCTTGAAGGAGCCCCCAGCTGTTGGAGGGTGGTACAAAGACCCCAAACTGACATCATATAGAGCTCAGGAGGGTTGCCAGAGAAAATACAGAACATCCAGTTAAATCTCAGATAAACAATGAACAATTTTCTAGTACAAGTACATCCCAAACACTGCGTAGGATATAGTTACACTAAAAAAGTATTCATTGTTTATCTGAAATTCAAGTGAAACTGGGTGTCCTGTTCAGAGCAGAGGGGTGTGGAAGGGGTCTGGTGAGAGCGGCTGTGATTTCGTCAGAGGGACGCATGAGAACCCTGAGTTACAGGTAGAAGCCAGAGCCAGGGAAGGGAAGGCCAGCAAAGAAGGACGAGGGTGCTGAGGCCTCCACCTCACAGCCCAGAGGCCCGGAGGCCCGGAGAAGCCTGAGGATGCCGCTCACAGGTGCCCCAGGAGTGCGTTGCTTTTGCATATGAAAGACCCTGTGAAGCCTGAGATCTCTTTGGCCTTCATGACTCAGCTGATTTCTCCCCATCCATCTGCCCACCTCACCTACCTGCCCTTTTCCTTTTCCCAGTGTGATATTGCTGCCCCAACTTCCCAGTGGCCCTATTTTAATCCTTCACCCCTTCACACCTCTCTCGTGCCAGCCTGCAGTGGCCTCAGCACTTCCCTCCTGCCCTCCTGTCAACCCCTCCCGATCACTCAGCACCGCAAGCACCGCGCTTGCCACTCCCAAACGAGACTCCACTCCAATTCCACCTCGGAAACCCAGTCCCATTATTGGTGGCCCCGAAAACTGATGTCATTTCATTGTCATCTGGAAGGTGAGGCAAGCACGTTCTGCAATTATAATTAAAAAGGGGAGCTGTGAAGGCCATGTACCTGGGCTGTGTCACCCCGAGCAGCCCGCAGGAAGACTTTTGGCACATTCAATGCAAGGAGCTGGGGTATCTGTTCGCCTTGGTGCCTTGTGCACCCCAGGAGAATGGATGCGCCCCTCAGAGTCTGCTCCTTCTACCTTCAACAAGGTCCCTGGGTGGCTCAGTCGGTTGGGCGTCTGCCTTCGGCTCAGGTCATGATCCCAGGGTCCTGGGACTGAGCCCTGCGGTAGGCTCCCTGCTCAGCGGAGAGTCTGCTTCTCTCCCCCTCTCCTTCTGTATGTGCTCTCTCTCGCTCTCTCTCACTCTTTCTCAAATAAAATCTTAAAAAAAAAAAAAAGAAAGAAAGAAGAGGATGAAACAAAACATTTGTTTCTCTACAAACAGAAGACTCTGATCTTGATTGTCCTGCTTCCATGGGAGGGAAGTCATTTTACGTTGCTGCTTAAAACACTGAAATGCTTATTTTTATTTTCTTGTTTGGTTAGAAAAACTTCCTAACCAGACCAGGGGTTGGTTATTGGGAAGCTGTAGGTACAAAGTGGGGCAGCTGAGACTGGGGACTCGTGGCCAGGTAAAGAGCAGGTGTCTGGAGTCTGCCCGCGGTGGGCCACAGCGCTCCTCGGCTTCGGGGAGGAGCCAGGTAGGGGACCAGGCATGCGGCAGGGGAAGGCCTGGAAGTCAAAGGAATGCCAGGTACCCACCAGGTGCTAGGGAGGCACTGTGATCAGGCCGCAACCCTTGGGCAGTTTACATCTGAGTGGGTGAGGGAGTCAAACAACAAACATAACACATTTGTAGATTATGTGGTGTATTACAGGTGGTAAGTACGGGGTGGGGGGGGGGGAGGTGATGGGGCATCAAGGGTGACCTTTTAAATAAGGTGATCAGGATAGGCCACACTGAGAAAGTGACATTTGAGAAAGAGTTGGAGGGAGTGCGGCCTGGCATATCTGGGGACGTGGTAGAATGTACACTACATAGCGACTATTCATGGTAAAATTCTGCTCAGGCCAAAGAACATCCAACAGAATAAACACGAGAAGAACAGGAGCCAGGAGTTGGGCTGGGAGGAGAGAGGGCTTTCCCCTTCAGTGCCAAGTGCATTTTGCCAAACCCCACCAAGGGCTGATGCTGCAGGCATTTCTACGGCCCTGGGCACAACTGCACAGTTCCCAAGGAACCCCCAAGGCAGCGGCCAAACAGAGCCTGTGCCCACCACACTTGTCCTGTTCTTCTATCTGCTCCAGCCCAACTGCCCCTCATGCCTGCCCTGACTTTGCTTTCAACTACCAGCCCTCAACCAGACCCACTGGGGAGGGACCTCAGGCAGTCCCCATTCTGCACAAGGTCAAGAAGTTCTATTTGCATCCTGGTAGATGTGGACCCCAGGGCAACATACGTGGGGGTGGACTGAACTGAAGCAGATGGAGGGACAGAGCGTCTGAAGAGGCTCAGTTGCCCTGGGGCTGGAAATCTGCAGTCTGCATTGTGGTTAGTGGTTCTTTACGGGGGCTGCATCCTTGGACCACCAAGAGAGCTTTTAAAAGTTCCAGTGCCCAGGCCACACACCAGACCATTTCAACCACAACTTGTAGGGTAGGACCCAGGCCTCAGTATTTTTTTGTCTTCTTAGGTGATTCCAGTGTGTGGCTGAGATTAAGAACCAATGTCCTAGGTCCTTGACGCCAAGTGGTCTCCATGGACCAGCAGCATAGGCATCATCTGGGACCTGGTTAGAAATGCAGAATTGGGGGCTTGCTCTGTGCCCACTGAGTAAGAGTCTGCATTTCAGTGAGATGGCAAGTGATTTGGGGGAGACCTGCTCTGTGAGAGGTGGCAGGGATTTCGGGAGATGGGTGGAGCATGGCAAAGGGGGTCTGGGAGCAACAGCTATGAGCCAGTGGAGGCAAGCAGGTGCCGGCCCAGCCAGTGGGGGAGTGAAGAGGCAGGCAGGCCCACTGGGCAGCGCCCCCCCACACTCAGGGACACTCACTGAGACTGAGTGCGTGCCTTTGTGGGGGTGTCAAGGGCTTCCTCAGCCAGAGACATGAGGCTGAAGTCAGAATCCAAGCAGGCTCTTGGCTTCTAGCTCCTTGAAGAGCAGGACCATGTACCCCAAGGCTCCAGGACAGAGGTTGGGCTGAAGCAGCAGACTTTCTGGCTGAGGGACTGTTTGGAAATCCCAAGCTGCTAATAAAATTCTTGTGAAATTCAAATGACTCAGACATTCCTAAGACACTGTGTTTTAGCAGAAAAATAGAATGTGTCCAGTTTCAAAATATCCCTGAGTGGTTAAATAATGACTCGAGGAGCTTAATGGGCCAGAAGGGAAATAAGCATTGACTTGTTAATTAGAGAAGACACTTCCTTCAGCATCCAGACCAATCAAGGCCCGGGAGCTGGTTCTCAGGATGGTGTTATCCCTGGAATTGCCACCAGAGGGGAGGCGTCTATCAATTTCATAGCTTGCTACAGCGACAGCAGAGGGGCCCGCTCCAGGAGGCAGGCTTGGGCTGCCAAAGTCTGTAAATATCAACAGCCAGATGGCATCCCCTGGCAGGTAGCCAGGTGTTCTGCTGCGAGGTTCTACTAGTTCCCGAGGCCTCAGAGAAATCCTGGGGCGGGAGTGGGGGTGCTGGGTACCTTTACTGCTTCTGCTTTATATTCTTAGGTGTCTTGATAAAGGTTTGAAAGAATAACTTCTAGAAAATTAGGATGAACTTTGGCAAGTTTCCGATGTATCTTTCGTGTGAGGTAAGGCCGCGGGAGTGGCCCGGAAGCAGGCAGCTCCAGGTCACTGCTCCATCAGGCAGCATTCCCAAGCTTGGCACTGAAATAGCCCCTTTCTGAAAGGTGAAGCAGAAGCATGCCGTGCGAGGATAGCAGAGGCTGTTTGCTCCCGTGGCCTCTCCCGCCCCGGCAATCCATGAAGCAGCCGGGCCACCGTGGCTGCCGGGCTGGCGTGGCTGGGAACATGCATGATAGGGGAAGGGGGCGGTGGCGAGAGTCTGCGTAATGTGGGGCCCTTCAAGTTGTCTGAAAAGGTGCTCACAGGCAGTGGAGAGTCATGGTGTCCCGGGAGGAGGCAGCAGACGACAGAAAAGCTTATTTCCCTGTAGACAGCCAGACCAGATGGCCCTGTCAGTCCTACATTGTGATTTTCATCCATCAAGTCCCCTAGGAAAGGAGCTAGGGGAGGGGGTTGAGGGAGTCAGAAGCCTGTCTGGTAGTGGGGGCCGGAATGAAGTCCCGAGCACTGGGATTCCCTACCTGCCCCTAATGCGGACCTCAGGAGGCACTGCCAAACCAGAGCCTCAGAATCCTGCTGGGTCGCAGAGCTCTCTAACGGGACAAAAACTGTGGCCCTGTGCCTAAAAAATGCAGAAAACCACAACACTGGGCATCACATTCTAAGGGGTGCATGGACCTTTCGAATCTCATTGAGGGATCATCAAAGGACACCTGGGCTCCAGGTTCAAACTCCAGGACTGGGCAGTGTGAGACCCCTCCTAGCCCCAAGGGCTCCAATTCTGTGATGCTTAACACGCGTGGCCTGGATGCTGCAGACGTGGTGGTGGTGTCAAGGGTCAACAGAACAGCCCAGGGCCCCACTCTACTGCATTTGTTCCTGGTGATTAAAACACTGTCAGAGAAAGCCATGAGGTGGACTTTAGTCCAACTTCTGGCATCGACCTAGGCTTTATTTTTATTGATTTAACAAACACTTATACAGCATTTACTATGAAACAGGAGTTTTCCAAGCACTTTACAAATGTTAACTCATCTAGTTGTTTTAGAAGACAATTCCTTCAATTTTTTTCTTTGTTAACGAATGGTGGGGAAAGCCAGACTTTTCCATCAGTTGGGTTTGGGTGGCAACTGGAGTCTCCAAGTCACAGTCTCACAACTGACTGAACTCTGAGTGTAATCTTTGAGTCTTAATTTCCTAATCTCCAAAATAGGAGTAAGTATTATCTACCTTTGCAGGGTTGTTGTTCTAAAATATTGAAAATAACATATGGAAAGCACATAACAGTACTTACTTCATTCATGTCTACTATACGTATCTACTATGATGATGATTTAGGTATGTGGGCATTAGAAAAGGGATTAATTAATCTAAACATCAACATTCATTCCATTCCAGGCATGGTTATTACGTGCCCCCTAAATGCCAGGCACTGTATTAGGTGGTGAGCACATGATAGTGGACAGGGCCTTTATCCTCACAGAGCCTGAAGCCTTGTAAAATGAATTCTGACTATGCGGTGAGCTCCTAGTCCTAGGCCACTCTGAAAAGCAAAACAAATAAAGGGAGAAAAGCAGGAGAGGGAAATGAGCCTACATGCACAGGAGTTCTCCAAAGAGACAAATATCCACTTGTGACAACCATCAACCCAATGCCCACAGGGACACGCTTTTGCTAAATATCTGAAAGGGTCAGTGGGGTTCCTTTCTGTCCCAGGGAGAACCAGAACAACAGGAAAAGCGCTGTCAGGCATCCTCTTTGTTCCTGCACCCAATTCCAGGAGGCAGACCACAGAAGTGCACTCAGACCCAGAAATACGAGCACATAAATCCATGTCACGTAACAGGAACTCTCAGGTTGGAGGTGAGAGATGACCTCCCGGCCGTCTGGGGAACTAAAGAAATTGGTTTCCATACTGGCAGCTTCAGTTCTGCAATCAGAGCTAAAGGTTAGCCTCACTGCCTTGGGGAAGAGAGCAGGAGGAGGGCTGTGTGCAGCGGGGGTCAGGGAGTCTGACATTTGCTTGTCCCAGAATCTCAGGTTTCTTGCATCCTGGGAAATGCCAACTCTGGGAAAGACAGCAGGGTGTGGCGGTATGAGCTCGGGGCTGGGAGCTAGGAGCTGTCACTCACCATGGTGAGGCACAAAACCCCCCTCTGGGGACACAAAGGCAGACAGACACCACAGACTGGCTGCTCCTACTTGCAGGGGGACCCAGGGCATTGTCCACGCGCATCTGAGGGGCCACATCTGACCTGTTAGGGACTGGGGTGCTGCTGGGCAGTGGCTCTAAGGCGCCCTCCCACCTCAGGAGTCCTCAATTCGCAGAATTGGCCACAAGTCTGAAAACCTCCTTTGCCAGGCTTTGCAGCAGGGATGTGTGGATTAGGCCAGCTTC